TCGGTATTGATTGGGAAATATATCGTGTTGTCGGTGGTCACTGGTGACCGGCGAATCGTTCTAAAATATACTCGTTCTTTCCTTATGACGATCTTACAAACCTGCAGTTTTATTAACCCTTAAGTGGATTACTCGACCTTCCACAAGTTTCAACCGATATTGTAATATTGAAAATTTATGTAATCCTACTTTAACACTAGATATACAGGCATTGATCGCACGTATATTTATTGATACCTTTCATGTTGACGATTACCTTAAAATTTTTCTTTGCATCAAATAAATTCAACATAAGTTGTTGACAAATAATATGTATGCGTTCTGCAATTTTAAATATGGAATCTGACATCGTTAAAGGAAAGTTCATTTGGTAAAATAATTGAGAGTCCACTCGAGGGTTAAACTGTTGTCGAACGAACGGTGGGCCATCTTGGAAGAAAGAGGTCTCGAGGAGAAATAGTTTGGATATTTTACGGGGCAGTCATATTTTTATCGCGTCGCACGGTCACCGGCAGAGTCGCGTCGAGGGTGGACCACGGGAAGTCAAGGGTTAGTAGCCCCGAGTCGTGCAATGTTTGGCCTCCCCCGTCCGACCGTCGCGACCATAAATCTTACGATCGTCAAGGGACGACTCATTCACGCCACTTTGCTTTCCGACCGATATCCGACCAGCGGGAAACTCCTGAATTCCCGCGACTTTCAGCTTGATCAAAGTGGTACGGAAGATCCCCGGGTGTCTTCGAGCCGTTTTTCCTTTTTCCTTCGCTTCCCAGCGAAAGATTTCTCCGTCGTTGCTGTTGGCCTCGTCGAGAACAGGCTATTCCAGGACGATTGTAACGAAACAGATCGTGAGAACCACTGACTAAATTTGCTGGAAGAATTTAGAAACTAGATAACGTCGGTAGTTTCTTAGATACTCTCCAAATGTGCTGTATTTTCTTTGGTATTAGAGATTCGAGGGGACTGGACAGTCAGACTGAGCCTTTCTGTAAGGGCTTATTAAAAAAGTTGATAAAAATTTTGGTAGCTTAAAATGTATACGAATGGAAAATTTTGTATCAAATGTTGCAAACGACTGATTTGCACTGAACCTATTAACAAAAAACCAAATTATGAAAATAGCGGAAAATGGAGATGTTAAATTATTAACCCTTTAACGTTCATGCCCGAGTCTGACCGCTTCGAAAAATAATATTTGTTTAATCCAACGGTTTAAGGGATGATAATATTTGTTTCCCTTCAAATTATACGTTAGATACAACATTGTAATTAACAAAAACCGTATTTTTAGAAAGAAATCTGATCATTGTTGGTTGACCCGAAAAATATGAACGTTAAGGGGTTAAAGCTTTCGTTCAAGCATCGCTCAAGTAATCTTCATAAATGGGACGTTATCGTCTCCCCCAATACTTATTTTTAAAAAGAAAATCGATTTCTGACCCCTTGAACAGTCGGAAAATAGAAAGATGAAGGAACAAGAAGACCAAAGGGTCGTAGAGCAGGGTGTAAAAATAGGAAAAGTCGTACAGGAGTGGTAATCGTGGAATCTAAGAAGGAGGAGGCGCAGGAAGTCCAGGGTGGGCAAAAACCGTCGATCTTCGGATTCGTCGAAAGTGCAATTCCCCCGGTTTTCCAGTTTTTTCGGCAGGCCTGGTCGGAAGGCCGGCGTTTCCAGGGCAGAAAAAGTTAATAGCGTGGAGAAATTAGCCGCGGCGGGGACGAGGGGGCGGTTGAGGATCGTTGATCGGGGGGTTGCGTTTCGGTGGGGTGTTCTGCACAGATGCAGCGATAGCAACAGTTCGGTGTCGGCTCGTTCAGACAGGAGGCCACATATGAGCTCGGAGCCACGGCATCGTATGGGCTTGACTCACACGCATCACGCGCAGTCATCCATCATTGTCAGTCACTTCACTGACACAGCCGTTCGTCCGGTCTACGGACGCGCGTACGGGACTCTCTCGATTCCGTGACTCTTCGTCTCTCCTCCGTGTGTTCTGATTTCCCGCGAAACCGACGCTGGAGCCCCATAAACTTTACGCTGTTACCGATCCTCGATGCACTTACCGAGCAAAGATTCCATGCACCGTTCGTCGAAACGCGGCTGCAAGGTCGACGGTGCGTTTAACTTTTACGCGGCAGCGTGGTTTGCTAAATCAATTAAGTCGAAGATAAACTCGCGGCGTCGACTTTCGTCTTGAAATTGATCGATCGAAGATGGCGGCGCAAAGCGAATTTCTCGTTACTCGAGTGTTTGGATTTCGAGCACGGTTTTGGTGGCGTTTAAATTCGACACAGTGTACGAGGAGAAAGGGCGCCTCAAAGAGCGGGATTTTTCGACGACGGCGCACAATTTGCGCGCGCAAATCAATTTTAATAGGGTGATAAATGCGGCGCATCGCTCCGGTAAAATATGGATCCAGCGCGGCGCGAGAGGGCCCGCGCTAAAAATAATATTTCAGTTCGATTGCTCTGATATTTCGAGTCATCCATCATCGTCGCTTCCTTCGTCGACGCCGGTGCTCGCAGGAAACGGCGATCCAAATACATACATTTCAGCAGCCTCCGCTTTCCGAGTATGGCCACGATTTTCCATACAAAATTCAGACGTTTTCCCCGATGTTCCGTCAGAATATTTTGATCGACCCGTCAGTCGCGCGATATCGTCCGGAAAAAAAAAACGAGGAAAAACGTCGAACGCTTGGAAAATGTTTTCCGCGTCTTCCTCAGACACTTCGTGAATCCTCGAATATCGGAGCAAATTTTTGGTGGAACGGAGGAAACGGAGACAAGCTGGTGGCCAAAGAAAAGACGAGTCCGCTTTTAAGTTTGGTACGACCTGTATTTTGCGTCGGTGAACGAATGTACACGTGTGCGTGATGATCACGTAATTTTCTCGATCGAGGATCGGCGTCCCCGCGGAAATCATACATTCGGAATAATCAATGTGTGTGACGTGTGTGTACGTGTGTTCGTGTAGAATGTGTACGGTTACCGTAAGCGCGCTATGTACAAAGAAGTCCTCGTGTAAACAACCACGGCTCCTAATGATTTATACAAACCAGACGACGGCGTATTAAATATTATTCCCGCTGTTCAGGTGAAAATCAAAGATACACGTCCGCTAGCTACGCTTATCTCGTATTTTAACTATTCGGTTGATGACGACGATCTTTATTTGGTTCGCTTAAAGTAGAGCCTACGGAGCCCGAAGAGAATCAATTGCTCGTACATGGCTTACGTAACATTTCGAACGGACAATCGAGCAGAAAATCGAGGGAGCCACGAACGATCCGATCGATTCTGTCCGGACTGCGGTAGAAATTACGATCGGAAACGCGCGCGGGCCGTGAGAAAAGCGATCGGATTTCCTTCGAAAAGCGTCGCGCGAAACGTCCCTGACGCGTTTGTCTCGTTAACCCTAAGAGAAATAAAAATGTGTCCCGTGTACAGTAAAAAATAAACATCGTTAAAATTAACGATCCCCGAGCGTACATAACTAAAAGACGCTCGACGTCGAACGGATGATCGCCGGCGAAATTAAACGTCGGAGAGGTTTGGAAATGTTTTACTTTCCGCGAAACGTTCGCGAATGGTACCTTTACGAGCGCACTTCGCCTCGTCCCTGACGCGAGTCAGGGTCAAGGGAATGCCGGGGGGCTTATCAGAGTAGGCAGTTACACGATTATTTTCTGTTCCTGTGATTAAAAACTAACGCATTGCACCTTATGCTCGCCCGTCTCAGCCTCGGTGTTCTCGAACGACGACGATCCGTGTTCTCGTGGAAATTCTCGTTTAAGCGAATCGGTTCTATGTACACGCGTTGTCTCGCTATCGATTATTGCTCGCGAATCTACAGCCACCCCTCGTCGACGTAACAGGCTTTGCGATACGCAAATGCTCTCCACCGACTCGTGGTGTCCATTTTGCGGCGGCTCCGTACTCGCGACGACATGGCGCCGTCACGCGAAACGGCGCCTCGATCGACTGTACACGCACCCCGGAACATCGAAATCGCGCTCGCGTCGGATACATTGCACTTTGCACCTCCGTGTCCTTGGATCACGAGGATTCGAAATCTAAACTATTTACACGCACTCTGATCGCGCTGTTCCGTTTCAATCGGATCGGAGCTCACTTTCTGTACGGTCTCGCGCGTCGCGACGTCGAACGATTCATTGTTTACGGACGGAGGCGTCGGCTAGGCTATCGTCACTCGTTCACTGGAATTATTGCACCGACGCTGTTGCTTGGACGTATTTTTTTTCGAAGACTCGAGAAAGCCTCTTCGCACCAAACCGATGAGTCGCACGTTTATAGAGTTTCGATCGAAGTAACTCGATTCGCAAGAAACGATAGACAGGCATCCCTGTTCGATTCTTTTCTGTTTCACATTTGTTGCGATACTCGAAACACCGAGCAAATAGCACTTCTTTTTTTATATTCTAAGGGATGAAACATAGCGTTCGATACTCCACGTTAGGATACTTCTAAAACTCTTTTTAACACATTGACTGTCGTGTCACTTAATGTTAAAGAAAATAAATCTATATAGGACTTTCAATAACAAATTATAGGTATGCTAGTTTCCAGTTGTCTAAAAGCAATGTTTCTTTTTCGTGGACAATTCGAGGAGTTGCTCTGGCAGTAAACGTATTCATTCAATTTTCCAAGTACCGCAACACACGTGAAACCGAAAATAATCATAAAGAGACGCTTGTCAAGCGTTCCTCGTTGCGTTCAGATTGCTTTGTCGAAGATGCAGGTCTGTCTGCATCCTGAACAGGGCGATCCTCGAACGTAACCAGAATCACGGAATCGAACTCTCTCGTTTCGAAACGTAAAGTCGTTGCACTCGCGTCGACTTCCCGGGTTCGTTAGCGCGAATCTCGATCGTTCACTGTACTATGTACACAAATCACAATGCTTGGGTGGTCGGATCAGTAAAGCGCGTTGAGCAGACCCTGCTCGTCGCTCCAGTCCAGCTGACAGGGATTCTCCGTCTCGTGAACTCAGCTGAGCTGATAGTACTCCGGCGCGAAGTCGTTCGCCAGATTCGTGAGGAAGTTGAAGTCCGATGAGCTGTTGCTGTTGTCGGCGGACGGGGGTGGGGCGGCACCGTGGACGGGATCCCCGTAAAAGTTGCCGTAATTTCCGTACGAGTCACCGTTGCCCTCGGCTTGGCCCGCGCTACCTGGCGGAGTGATCACAGCCGCGGTTGCAGCCGCGATGGCGGTGGCGGTCGTGGTCATCCCGGGTGCGGGGAACGGATCCGGTGAGGATACGTAGCTGTTGGGAATGTTGGACGCCTCGCCGCCCTGGTGGACGTGCAACTGATTGGTCTGCTCGTAGTAGGCGTTCGGATGACACTTGTTCCCCGCTCTGTAATCGCCGGAGCTTGGATGCATGGGCGGTTGATGGGCGACGTAGCCCTCCGCTGTGTGCTGCTGCTGGTGTTGATGTTGCTGCTGGATATCGTTGTAGTAGTGTTGACCAGTCTGAACAGAGACAGCGGCGTGGCCGTGGGAGGCTAGATTCTCGCTGGTTCCGTGGTAGTTCCCGCTGGTAGGGTATCCGTAGTTCCCAGGAGCCATGTAGCCTTCCGTGGTCTGATCGTGTTGAGCGGAGTAGCCTTGGCTGGGTCCGTAGGTGTTGTTGGCTTGCATGCCCCTGTGATAGGAGGAATGATAAGGTGGTCCAGCTTGAGGGTACCCGTTGTACTCGCCGCCAGCGTTGGGGTACTGGTTCTGCTGCTGGTGGAACTGCATGTTGGCGTTGTACATCGTCCTGGAGGCGCTGCTGGCCGTCCCGCGAACGTGGTGCCCGACCCTGGAGCCCAGCACTTGGTTCTGCCTCGCGTACAGCGGGTGCACCTCGCCCGGATAGGAGATCCTGGGCTGCTGATAGCTGTCCCGGGAACAGTAAGTGCTCTGCGACTGCGTTTGCTGGGTGGCCGCGGGTACGGCTTGTCGGCTGGGCACTCCGTTCCTGTAGTCGACGGCGGACGTCGTCTGGTAGACGCCCTGCTGCTGGAAATGGGATTGCTGGTTGCTGGCGATGTTCCTGGCGGCGTGGGGCGACATGGTGCCGGCGTTCGTGGATCCGTGCATCATAGGCGCGGCCACCGAGCTGGTCGACGACGGGGAGCTCCTGGGTCGTTGCATGTAGGCCGCGTGGGTGGCCTGGATTCCTAGGGGGCTGCCTTGCTGGAGCTGTACGGACACCGGGGTGCCTGGTGTCGAGGACGGTGTCAAGCTTCTCGTCGAGTTCTGGCCAGGCAGGACAGGTGTGCTGACCGTGGAGTCGGGCATCGCCAGGAGGACGCCGTTGCTGTTCACCGAGCAGAGCTCCTTCGTGCTGGCCGACGGGGACTTCTTGCTGACGGAGATCTGCTGTTTCCCGGGGTTCGGGCTCTTGTGGCCGCTCTCCACCTTCACCCGAACATCGCTGGACAGCTTCTTGCTGGCCACGCTCGGCGACGTGACCTCGCTGCCGTCCTGAGACCTCGAGTCGTCGTCCGCTATCATCTTCTCGAAGGAGCTGGACACGCTGTTCGTGCTACCGACGCTGCTGGCCCCGTTGCTGTTCGCGTTGAAGCCCGGGTTGCTGTTGTTGTTGTTGTTCGTGGCGCTGGGCGTGTTGTTGTTGTTGTTGGTGCCGCGGCAACCGGTGGAGCCGAGCTCCGTCACGTCGCCGGACAGGGTGCTGCCCACGTCGCTCACGCCGGATATATCACAGTTGTGGCAGCTCTTCTTCTCGTCCCCGTCGATCGCCAGCAGCTTCTCGGCCTTGGACTTCTCCATGCCGTCGGACGTGGAGCCGTCCTTCTCGTCGCCGTCCTCCTTGCTCAGCGTCTGCCTCTTGTGCTTCATACGCCGGTTTTGGAACCACACTTTCACCTGCAATCAAGACGGGTTTCCGCTCGTGGTAGTTGCGAGAACGGGCGTGCTCTCGCGCGCGATCTCGTTGTTCTCACCTGCCTTTCCGTGAGGTCCAGGGACGCGGCGATCTCTATTCTTCGCGGCCGGCAGAGGTACTTGTTGAAGTGGAACTCCTTCTCCAATTCCAGGAGCTGCGTGTTCGTGTAGGCCGTCCGCAGCCTCCTCGGCAGACCATTCTCTGGAAAACGAACAAGTTATTCTTCGTTTCTCCCGAATGATATACGCTCGCCTCGGAAAATCAGTTGACACGCCTACCGTGGATACGTTTCTCGTTATAGAAACGATGGAAACGCTATTATTCTACTTTACTTTGTTGCAAATGGGCCAGAATAGGACGAAAATCAAGGATACCCTATTCGATGATTGAAGCTTCACTTTTCTCGAAAATGGGTAGGATTTCGAGGGTATGTGTATTCACCAGAAATGATTGTAATTGGCCCCCACGATCAACAATAATTTTTTTAGAAGGATTTGAAATTTTTTAATAACTTTTTAACGAAGCCTCAGTTAAGAAATTGATATTTTTTAAAATTTTTCCCAGGGGTGGCCGAACACCCTGTATATTCTGGTTTACTTTCGATGCAATCTGAAAACGTGGACGTTTTAATATCTCCGTCAACTTAGAAAATAATCTGATGGTTTCGGCGAGACAGTCGGTATTGCGGCAAAGCCAAATTATCCCGCGAACTTTTAACAGGCCGCATGTTTTAATGTATGCAATTTCAGTAACACGTTCGTTACATCTCCGCGTTTCTTCCTGTTTCGCTGAATTCCTCGCGAAGCGTGAAACCCCTTATCGAATCTCGAATCTGGAATTTCGAATGTTTGCCTCAAGAAGGCACAATGAGTGTTTGCTGGTAGGCTGAAGCTGAACACTGATACGAGATCTTGATGAAACTCCTGCCGTTCGGAATGGAAAAGACACGGTCTACTAATAGACGTAACAGTTATGTCTAACAATTAAATAGTCAACTAATTAAAGCGGATTTAAATTTACAACGAATCGTGTGTTTGTTCCGCGATATCGCAGGAAGCATAAACCCTATCTTGGCAATTCGTTTCGAGTCTCCTTAGAATTTCCTTGAGTTATTGATATTTTTAATTTGCTTTTGTTAACCAATACTCAGCTTGGCGTTAATATGTTTCCAAGTAAGATTTCTCGATGCATTGAAAGATAACAAAGGGGTTTGAACAAGGGGTTGGATAGCGTAACAAGGGAAAAAAGTAACCCAGAATGCTCGAACGACAGGAACAGTTTTCGTGGGAGGCGAGGCATCGTGGTCTCCGTGTTTTTGCACGATTACGCCACTCGAACGGTCGCTTAATTAATGATCATTTAGGCGAATTCGAAGGGTCCCCGGTGTCCCCGGGACAATACAGGGACGCGGTAGACGCGTCGATGGGGCCTGTTTCGGCGTTGTTCGGGCGAGATGCTAACCTCCTAGGCTCCTTAGAAACTTTCGCCCAAGTTCCCAGCCGGTCGGTATTCTGTGTCGATGTACGAAACGTCTCGTAATTATTATCTGGTAAGAAACTTGTCGCGAGATAACGAGGGAAGCGTCGAAAGAGGAAGGGACGATAGAGAGCGAAGGTTCGAGGTAACAACCCGACGATATCTCCGTGGTCACGATGCACCGGTAATCTTCGTCCAGGCGATGTAAACAATCATTAATAGTTGGCCGGCGGTAATTACAGGAATTTTACGCGGCTCTCGGACGGGGCAATATTTCAATCAATGTCGATGATTGTGTGCGCGCGCCGCACAGCCGCGATAACCGCGAACGGTTCGAATACGGCGCCCGGTTAATGCAGAACGCAAACCAGGGAAATATCGTCGATAAAATAACGGCGCAATTAACCCCGCGGGTTATCCAGGATCGATTTTTCCACGCGCGGAGATCCGCGTTGCTCGGGCGATCCTCTGTTTCCCATTCACGCGATGACAAAACGCGCGTAATAACCGGCCGCGGAGCGTTTCGAACGGTTCGCGGGAAAATTAAATCCCGGCTCCGGTCTCCGGGACCGGTTCGCCTTGGACGTAATGCCCCCTTGATTGCGATTGTTCGACGTCGTGAATAATCGAATCGTTTGTTTCAGGAACGCCGTGTCCGTTTTATCGCGGTTACAGAGGCGGTTCGCAAAAACGGACAAAGACGAATGCGACGGTCGTGTCCGCCGCGCATTTTCTATTTTGTAACGAGCGTTTAACGTTGCCAACAACACCGGCAAAGGTTGCCACACTTTTCTCCAAATATCTAAATACACTGTGACGTAAAAAGAAGAATGGCGGACAATTTGCTTCCCGGGCGAAAAAGACTCCCATTAACGAAACCGATCAATCTTCCCCAGGGTGGAAATCTTTTCGACGAGGCCGGAGTGTCCTTTCGAAAAGGAACAATTCGAATTATCCCGGACGATCCGTCGATTCGAGCGCCCATGACCGATCGTCCGCCACCTGGACATCCTGTACACGGGGTTGCTGCACTTTTTCTTTTTTTTCTTTTTTTGTTTATTTCGAACCGCCTCGCCGTATCAGACGGGGAGAAAAAAGCGCCGTAGAGAGAGGGTGTCTTCGTTTCGGAGGGTCGAGATGCTAAACTACCCCATGGCGTGCGAGTGGATCCGGGGGTTGGTTCGACGACTGGGATGAGTCGTCAGGGGTTAAAGGAGAGGGACGCGGACGGGGGCAGCAGGGTCGGAAAAAGAAGGACGAGTCGAAGACGGAGCACGAAGGGAGGTTTTAAGGGGGGGACGATAGAGGGACGAGGTGGAGACGGGAGGGTGGGCGAAGCGGGGCAAAGTCTGCACGTGGAGTTTTCATAGAGTAAAAGTGGACGGGGTGGAAGCATCGCGTGAGCGACACGGCCCTTATCGATATTTCTATCTCGGGATTTGCTGCGGGAATCCGTCGATACTCCGAATCCTCTCGCGAACAATGCATTTTTATCCGTGTAATATGTTTTTAGCCCGTCCAGAGATGCGTTTAAGCCATTTGAATTCCACTTTTGCTACGGGTTAACGAGAATAGGTACGAACGTAGTGGTTAAGAATACAGTAATATTTCAAAACATAATTATTGAAACCGAATGGCCGCTGGAGGGACGAGGGAGATGGGGGCTGAAGAGAGAGGGTGGCGTGCTCGAAACTCGGCAAATCCCGCGCGCGGGCTTTTCAGAGGATAAGGGTGGTTTTCGTGGGGAAGGGTGGGACGAGATGGAAGTATCGCGTGATTGACGTGGGCCTCATCAGCATTTCGGTCTCGCGATTGGCTGGACGGACCTGTCAATCAGCCGATATTCCACGCCTATTGGTCGTGTCTCGTAACCGGTGTAGTCTGTCGTCCCTTTTCCAAAGGGCTGATTCTCGCGTAGGGCGAGGAAAGCCCTGCTGTTGCGAATCTTTATACTCTATCGACGCAGAACTGTTTCGAACAAAGTCACGCGAACGTCGGGGGAATAGGAAAGATTTCTTGACGCCGGTGCTATAAAAAATGAACTTGGTTCTGTAGGTTCGATAGAATTGGTTGTCGAGGATCGATTTTGCGTAATGGGAAAGGGTCGAAGACGGGCTGCTCCGAACGATAATGTTTAGAAGGAAATACACTGGAATTAGTCGAGTGTCGTATTACCGTCGAATAATGATCAGGATCTCGTATAAAAATGTAATTGACGAGTCAATTTTTGTGGACGTTCCGGGGCCAGGGGACCCAATATCGCTAATGTGTAGGCTTCCAGTGTTGGGACATGCGAAAAATTATAAAAAAAAAAAAAAAAAAAAAAAACGAGAAACGTTGTACGCTGAAAGGAGAGAAAGGAGGATAATGATGAAACGATGGACAAGAAATTCCTGATATAAACTGCCGAGGTGAAAGCCATTAACCTTTTGCACTGCGTGTGTTTTTTCAGTCACTAGAAATAAATGATGTTCTATGCTAAGTCTGCCCGCAAGACGTATCGCTCTATACGACTTTTGTGTACGGGTGAACAAACTGAATGGAGTCCTAAATTGGTAAACAAATAATAACTGTGCCTTGGCGATTTAATTGTTTTTTTTTATCGTGCTTCTTGCGATCGCTAAGGAACATATCAGTTATCGATGATGCAAGAGTCTCTAGGAAATAATGGGCGTAAATCTGTAATTCTTTAAAGCCTAACTGGACCTTTTGTGCGACTATTCGCGCGGTAGACCGAAATAGTTGCAAGAATTGCTTTGTGAATCTTTTGTTCTTTGATTCGGGGCGAAAATAAATCAGCGACGAACTGTCAGGCTGGAGCTAGAACGAAGAGTCGTGGAGTGAAGGGTCTGCGTTAAGGTACACGCGACACCGAAATAGAATTCGTATTTTCGAATATTGTCACGTGTTCTTGTAACACCGGCCTCTCTAGTTAGCCCGATGAAAACACCTTGCAAGAAAAGTCGCCACTCTTCCGTTGCGACCCGGATTAGACCAAGGGCCACGGGGAACCCTCAAATAAAGTGTATTTTTAAACTATACTTTGTCGTTTCCATTAAGCAACGAGTGTATGGAACAGTCGATTTAGAATCTGCAAAACTCGAAATATCTATAGCGAATCCTACGGACGCGAACGAGCGTCTGATAGGCGGATAGTTAATCGGACCTAACTGGCGCTGAGAGTTCTTTTCTCGTATCGGTTAAACAGACTTTCATATTTTTCTCCGGTCCATAAATCAAACGTCCTTTCTACAATTATTTATCCCTGGCATATTAATAATTATCCATTATCTAATTGATCAATGTCCAACTGGTTCTCCCGGAAGATCCTTTCTAGGCGTTTTCGGAGTTTCGACGAGTTCTTAAAATAGTTAATCAGATGCACTTTCGACGGACTCTGATCGAGCAAAATTTAATAATTTAACCGGCCCCCGGAGTCCCTGCTAGAATTCTCATTAATTTTTCAAAGATTAATGATTCATTTAGTTTTTATTAAGGTACAGAAACAATCGAAATCCTCGAGTCTGAACGAGAAGGGTCAGAAACTTGAAATCTAGGGAAGAGTTTAGGTAAATGTAATACACTAACAATTGGGTAATAGCTCTTGTTCGACCAAAATAGTCGCAGCGGGGGAAAAATCGCCGAAAAAGTTGCTGGCTGGATAACATTATTAGAATAACAGTGGTCTTGTTAGTCGAACGCAACGGGTTCGTCAGTCATCGAGT